ATGAAAACCTTAATTTCGTGAATCAATGTTCTACACTCGGTGGACGAAATGGCCTCACTCTGTCCCTAAAGTAGGAACACCGCTGGCAGACAAAAAATTTTAACCCCCAACTCTCCCATCCCCTACCCTTTTAAATATAAAATGTAATAATGGTTGACGATTACCTTGTTAAAAAAAAAATTTCGTGAATTAAGATTTTAAAAAAGGAATGAGAAAAAGGATGGGCCTGATTTTGGGCTTTGTGAACTTCAGTCGCTAAGGTCAATCATGAAATTAACCAATAGTTTGGAATATTTAGCTGAAAATGAAACTGTGCAGCCAGATAAGTCCAAGTACCAAGACTCAAGATCAGTTTATTACCATATTTTTTTTTTAGTCTCTGTCAGCATAAACCATAGACTAAGGCACCCAAGACAATGATACAAGAAACCGTTGTAAGGCTGATAATGAGATCTACTTAGCTTCCCATCAGCTGAAAATACTGAAGGGGAAAAATGAGGAGATAGAATAATGAAATGAATAAAGATGAATCAGCTATTCTGAAGTGAAAAGGAAAGAAGGGAGAAGAAACTAAATTCATTTTGAAAATATTGCTTACGCCAATTACATATTGCCACCCAATTCTGAGCGAGGATGCAAAACGAATGAAAAGATCTTCCCCACCACTGGAGAACTCTTGCATATGTCTTCACTCCACTCCAAAGCAGACACCCTATGCCCTTTACATATGCATAAGCCTTGCAAGAAAGATTGCCTAACCAGAGAGTTACTCCATTCCCATCTACAAGCTTCAGATTTCCATTACTTCCAATCTTTAGACTTTACAATGAATCAATAACTGGATCTCTCTGTTAGCCACCCAAACAACTGTGCGAGGAGCAATATTTTTGTACCATATACCAACATACTGATTAGTGGTATTATCAGGACAAAAAAGGCCTAACTAAAAAACTTGGGTAGGGGAGATAAGGATTTCATTTTGTGATAATGGATTGGATGAAGATATATTATAAATTGCAGCATAGCAGTGCAAAAGAAACAA